TTTTCTTTTCACTGTGGCAAAACCAAGGCAGTTTACAAAAGAAAGTGTTCGATTGGGCTGGTGGTTGTAGAGTCACAGTAATGGAGCAAACGTCACATGGCAAGAAAGCCAAGAGCTCACGTCTCAATCCAGAAGCAGAAGGCAGAAAGAGTACACTGTGAATAACATGAGATTTCTTTCTTTTTTTTGTTTTTGTTTTTGTTTTTCGAAACAGGGTTTCTCTGTGTAGCCCTGGCTGTCCTGGAACTCACTCTGTAGACCAGGCTAGCCTCAAACTCTCGAACTTAGAAATCTGCCTGTCTCTGCCTCCCAAGTGCTGGGATTAAAGGCGTGCGCCACCACCGCCCGGCAACATGAGATTTCTTAAATAAACAAACAACACTTGCTGAATTCAAATGGTTAAGACATATTGATAGATGTTACCAAAGAAGAAAATGCATACGTCTAGGGAAATAGGTGGGATTTAAAAATTCATGAGAAAGAGCTCACAACTAAGAATTGCCCCGACATGTTTGAAAATGATTGCTCGAATAGTCAACTTGTCACAAAACTGGAGCAGCTGCTTCTGTGTAGCCCTGTTGGAAGGAGCCGGAAAAGCTGACTAAATTCTTCAACATCCCCTCCTTGGGATGTTGCTGGCACCGAGGATACCTAGTTGCAGAAGTGGTATAGTCTGAGGATGGTGCATATCACTGTGATCAAGCAGGCATAACTCAAGACACTGCCTCTCAAATCCCTGCATGTCCCCACATCTGAAGAAGGTTTGAATAATTAGAGATGTCAAGGAAACAGGTCAGAACAAAACTGCTGAAGACTGGAACACTTGACTGAGTGTGAGCCACCGCAGAGCTGCACTAGCTTTAGGCTACAGAAGCAATGTGACAGAAGACAGTGGGACGATGGACTATGGTGTCCCAGGCTCTGCATCTGGTCACATGGTCCCCGTGTGCCTTCCTGAGCATCACATGCCAGCAAGCTTGAGGGACTCTGGTGGTTGGATGAGAGTGCACCTCTAGGCTCCTTTTTGTCCCTAGTTGATGAACTGTCCACACTGCAGCACTCTGTTTCTGCAGACTCCCAGCAGTTACCCATGAAGCTTACAGCGGTCCAGCACTTCTGTATCCACAGCCCCAAAATGCTCCTAATTCCTTGTGCAAACCAGCTGCAAATGCCACACTTCTACACAGACTGTGTGTCACATCCCCATGTCACCTTGAGAATACTTGATGAAACAACTCAAGCAGGGAGGAGAGGACTCGAGTTGGCTCATGATTTCAGAGGACTTCATTCGTCATGGAGGGGAAGACATGGTGGAGTAGCTTAGTCCATGACAGTGGAGCATGTGGCAGAGACTGTTGACATCACAGAGGACTGGGAAGCAGGGCCAAAAGGCCCTGAGAAGCCCTCAGTGACCTGCTTCTCCCTGCTGAGCCCCCTCTCTAAAAGTTGCACCGCTTCCCAAAAGAGTGCTACCAGCTGTGTACCAAGTACTCAAAGTAAGAGTGGGAAAGAGACCCAAACCGTACTAGTCTCTGGTTAGCTATAATAATAAATATCTTGATTTTTTTAATGTTATTTTAATCTTTTAACCTCTTTTAAAGGTAGAGAAAATAAAAATCCTTCTGCGAAACGTGGACTTGACTGACATAAAGGTCGGCTCGGTAGAGGAGTTCCAGGGACAAGAATACCTGGTCATCGTCATCTCCACTGTAAGCTTGCATTCTCTCGCGCCCTCTCTATCTCTCTGTCTCTCTGTGTGTGTGTGTGTCTCTCTCTCCCTCCCTCCTCTTCCTCCTTCCTCTCTCTCCCTCTCTCTCTCTCTCTCTCTCTCTCTCTCTCTCTCTCTCTCTCTCTCTTTTTTTAGTTGGCATGCACTTGACATTGCTGGTTATTTAGTGAGTGAGTGATAGTTATATTCAAATAAAATGAAAGAACCCAATCCACAGTGTAAGACTGCACGGTAGACTAGAGACTCCTAGACTCAAGTGTTTCAAAAGAGCTGATGACAGCACATTGTTCAACAAAACCCAAAGATCAGGAGCCCAATGGATCTAGGAAAGAATAGTTCATGGAGGAATAAGATGGCAAAAGACTGGTGTGGCAGGAAGCAGAGGTAGGTGAGTCTCTCTGAGTTTGAAGCCAGCCTGGTCTACATAGTGAGTTCCAGGACAACCATGGCTACACAGAGAGACCCTGCCCCCCCCCCCCAAAAAAAAAACCAGCTAGGGAACAGAATGGGGCAGGTGTCAGGAGACCCCGGTACAGTGACCTTTTCGCCACTACACAAGGACAGCTACACTCTCACACCACTGCCTGTTAATCGTTAAATGTCACTACTGCAAGGATATGCTAACTGCAGATAGAAAACTCAGATTCAAAAGAGAAAAGTAACACCATCTAAAACTCCACTACCCGACATAACCTGTCAGCATCTGAGGGTCCCCCTATCTGTAGACTGAATAGTGCTGATATAAGCCCTGTCTCGTTTAAAATTAAATAAGGTCATGTTGCTTCTTAACCTTTCTGTTTTCAAGTATTGAGAAAAACACTTAAAACACCATTTTTCTTCATCTTTGTGTCCCTAGGTACGGTCAAATGAAGATAGATTTGAGGATGACCGTTATTTTTTGGGTTTCTTGTCCAATTCAAAAAGATTTAATGTTGCAATCACAAGACCCAAAGCACTGCTGATCGTTCTGGGAAACCCTCATGTGCTTGTCAGAGTGAGTTTACAGGACCCTGGGCTGCCACTGTCTTGATATGGGAAGGGAGGGAAGGACACAGGTCTCAGGAAATGACCTCTTAACTCAGTGTGCACCTGCACCAGGAGACTGGGCCTCACTCACTGTGTCTCTGGTTTTCATTAGGATCCCTGTTTTGGAGCACTGCTAGAATACAGTGTTACCAATGGTGTCTACACAGGTTGTGATCTACCTCCTGAACTCCAGGCTCTGCAAAAGTGAGCACTCCAGTCTGCTTCCTAAAAGGTGGGCTCTTTAGGACTCCCCAACCTCCCATATTGGTTCTCCCTCAAAACCCCATGCACCCAAACCCACTGAAGCCTCAGGACCAGCCTGAATGCTTTCTTGATTGTTCCTGACCCCTGGACTGCAGCAAGCATGTCTGGACTTTAGTGGTTAATGCCACTCGACCTTGTGTACCTCAGAAGGTAAGCAGAGCACTGTGGAGGAAAGAGTGTAGCTCCACGTGTTTACTTCAAGCAAGCTACAGCTAGATGGCCGTGCCAGGATCTGTGACACAGTGGAGTCTGCTGGTTGGATAAACAGCAGCTGCAACAGGGAGACATTGAGCCTCACCCTGTGGACCATTAGGTCCAGCCATGCTTCAGTCTTCTGTGACTCGTGTGGCTTCCTGGTCTCAAGACTGAATGTTGGTATCGGTGGGGCCGCTGAGTCAGCTGAGCTGCTCCTGCTTCCTTGTACTGACCTTGGTTCCTCAGTTTGTTTCTGCCAGTGGGCAGTCACTGCCACTCCCCTCCCTCCAAATAAACACTCCATAACCCCAGACCCCTGTCTCAGAAGGCACTGGTGTTAGTGATAAGGGTGTCTTTCCTTTGCACCCTACTAGCTACAATCTTTGGAGTTGGTTCTGCCGTCATCTCCTGTATCCTGATCTGGATGTGTGTGAAAGCAGAAAAGGTCACCAGCTCCTCTCACCTGAGAACAGCCCTGCTGGCTGTGTTGTAATGCCTGGGACTGAAGAGGGTCTTACATGGAACCAGAGCCACCTAGAACCCAGTATTTCTAGAAGGAGCAGTCAGTCAGGGCCTGTACTGGAGCCCTGCCTGTCTTCCCTGGCCTATCCCTGAATTCAAGTAGATACCAACTTCCTAAGAGCCTTCTTAAGTTGGATGAGATGGGCTCCTTGATGGACCAAACTGGACTTGCAAGTCTGTGCTCAGAGGCACTAAGCAAAGAACTAAAATTTCACCAACCTCCCTCCCCCAGCTTAGGGGAGAGTGCAGCCAGGAATCTAGGGATGGCTGTTCATTAGCGAATAAGGTGAAGGTAAAATCTGTGTAAATAAGAATGCACCAGAAAGAGTCAGGCCAGACAGGACAGCGGTCCCTCCAGGTTTTGCTCTAGTATGAGGAGATGTTTCCAGATAGCTAATGGATATTGAAGAAAGTTACTACTACAGACATACACAGTCCACTTCCTAAAAGGTGGGTTCTTTAGGACTCCTCAACCCTCCCATATTGGTTCTCCCTCAAAACCCCATGCACCCAAACCCACTATAAGCCTCAGGACCAGCCTGAATGCTTTCTTAGCTCTTTCTGACTCCTGGGCTGTAGCAAGCACGTCTGGACTTTAGGCAATGATGGAGAGATACTGAGCCAAGGAATCCTGCAGAAGTTTGTGTACAGTAGCTCCTGGGAGGAGAGAACATGTGGGTGGCCCCGGGGGGGGGGGGGTGTCAGGTGACAATCCTAGAAGCCCCCACGAGCTGGCACAGCTCCATGAATGTTGACAGTGGGTGAAGTAGTGGAGATGCTGGGTTAACAAACATATCCGCACTGGCTGGCGTTCCATCACAGCGTGTTTAACTGGGCGCTCCTGGGTCGGGACATGGCTGCAGTAAAGAGGCATCCGGGAGCTTTGGAGAGGACGCCACACAGCATTTATGTGCAGGCACTAGCCTGGGAAAGAGGGTTCGGGTTTCCTTACCCTTGTCTGCAACATCTCACAGGGCAGCCTCTACGCCTATGTGGAGCCGGGGTCCCAGTGAAGAGCAAGAGAAGTGAGGTGTGGAACTAGAACCCTCTGGCTACCAAACACCATCTGACCCTAGAGCGTGCGATCCGCCTCTTTCCGTGCACAGGGCTGGGGGGGCCAGGGCTTGGCGCAACCCTGATGCAAGGGGATGGTCAGTATGAATTCCATTCATTTCATTTAAAAAGAAAAAATAATTTTTTTTTTTTTTTGCAAAGTCATCGCCAACGCCGCAGCTACGTGGAGGGGGGGGGGGCTGGGGGCGGAGCCACGCCGCGGAGTTGCCGCAGGTAAACAGCCCCCCTCCCAGGCGGGAGCGGGCCGCGCGGCCCAGGCAGGAGAGCCGCCGCCGCCCCCGGGAGGGACGCAGGGCGCGGGCCGGCTACAGCGCACGGCGGGGGCGGCGGCGGCCCGGCGCCCTGGAAGCTCGACCCCTCTCGCGGGGCGGCAGACCCCCGAGTCCCGCCGCATCCCTGCTGACATCCCTCTTCCTGCGCCCCGCGCCCTGCGCCCCGGTGACCTCGGTCTCCATCGCCCCCCGCCGCCCTCTCTGGCTCGCGGCCCCGCCCGCGCCCCCCGCCCGTACCCCGCCGGGCCGCGCCCCCGCCCCCCATGCACCACCTCCTGGAGCAGTCGGCGGACATGGCGACCGCGCTGCTGGCGGGCGAGAAGCTGAGGGAGCTGATCCTGCCTGGCTCGCAGGACGACAAGGCGGGCGCGCTGGCCGCGCTGCTGCTGCAGCTCAAGCTGGAACTGCCGTTCGACCGCGTGGTCACCATCGGCACCGTGCTGGTCCCCATCCTGCTGGTCACCCTGGTCTTCACCAAGAACTTCGCAGGTGAGGCAGGGCGCGCGTCCGCAGGTGTTTAGCGCCCAGCGCTCTGAGCGCGCTGGCTCTCAGCGCCAGGCAGCTAGTTGCAGCTGGACCGCACCCACCCGGCCAGGCGGTGAGGCATTGCCTGCAGGTCTCATCACAGACCTTGGGCACCACCTCAGTCTGGCATGAGGGGTTGAGACAGGGCCGCCTGAGAGACCTCCTCTGTTTTATTGTTGTTTGGCCTTCCATTCCTTCAGCCTCAAACCATGAGGAGAGTAGGCCTGTCCTACACTTGCTGGCCCTCAGTATGAATGGGATGTGGGGTCTGAGTTGTAGAACGTCACGGGAGGTGGTGGTAGGGAGAGCTGAGGCTTGGAGGAATAGCCAGATGAGGACTAGAGAAGGATGAGAGTTGAGGGCAATGCTCGGGATAGTGAAACTCCCATGATGCTGCATGGGGTTCTTGGGGCTGACAGTGTAGGAAAGTGAAGATGCTCCCGAGAACTCTGAATTACCCCTTTCCGAAGGTCTGCTGCAGAGGAGGCCAGACCCGAGCTGGCCCTGGAGGACATCAAGCAACGATGGTCCAGGAGGCCACCCTTGACTAGCAAAGGCAGTGTAGGTAGAAGGAAGAGCAGGTCAGGGAGGAGTGCATAGGTTGAGAAGCTGATGTGTTAGGTCAGTAGCACTGTGCCTGCTATATGAGGGAGCCTGTGAGTGCATCTGTAGTCACACGCAGGAGAGCACACACCTATAGCGGGCCCTGCCTAGGATGACATGAGCTGATGTGAAAGGCACTAGGGAGCTGGCTTCTGGTGACACACAGAGATGGGAAATAGCATCCCCCACCCGGACCTGAACTGAGGCAAGGACTCAGGTATCCATCTCCACAAATCTAATTTGTGGCCGGAGATGCCAGTTTCATAGCAGGAAGAAGACTGTCAGTCAGGACCCCAGAGTTCCTCTGGAGGTGCAGGTCGCTCTGCCATCTGCAGCTACTGGGCAATAAGAACAGGTAATTTTGATACCCACTTCTTCACCATCATCCACAGGTGCCTCACCTTTCAGGAAACTCCAGGACCTAGAGATGTCCAACCTGAGGGCAGGCATCCTTCAGACTGCTTAATACCACGCCAAAGGTGGACGAAGTTCTCCTGGTCTCCATCCTTGGACACCAAAGGCCCTGACACTCAGTCACACCGAGGTGTGTGTATAAAGGGGCCTTTGGCCATGCTGACCACAGTACCAGCAGTGGGGTGGCTGGCTTACAACAGACATGTACCTTACAGTTCCAGGGCCAGGTGTAGGTGGGCTGAGTTCTCTCCAGAGGCCCTTTCTTCCTGATGAGCAGTGGCTGCAGACCTTCCCTGGTATGCCTTGGCCTATAGCTCCACCAACCAAGACCTGTCCTATGTTGGGGATTTCCCCGTGTCTGTGACCCTCCCTTGAGTCACAAGTGTATCGTAAGGTTGGGATTATTCTAGTCCACTCTCTGAGTTCATTTACATCTACAAAGTCTGTTTCTATCAGTCCACAACACAGGGCTAGGACTACAGCAGATACTTGGGAGAACACAGCTCTATCTATGACAGACATAGTAGGCAGCTTCCGATGTGGGTGGACTGGGCCATCTTTGATGATCTCTTGATATAATCCCTACACTCAGACACTGCTGGCCCAGCTTGTCACCATGGGACCTCCAAACACACTGCATCTGAGTGGGCCTGGAACCACCAAGATGTCCTCCAAGTTAGCCCGGATCCTGGACCTGCTGCTTCAAACCCCCTGTGCTTTCCCACAGAACTGCAGGTGCCCACCTAAGGCCCACATTTCCTAAGCCCTCCTACCCATGCTGAGCTAGGCCTACAACAAGTGTGAGGAGAGGTCCTAGGGCCTACGCAGCACAGACAAGGCCCTGTGCTAGGCCCTGTGACTAGTAAGCCTGCTCTTGGCTGGGAGGAGAGACAAAAGGAACAACCAGCCTTACTTCTAACCTTTGCCCTCCCTGACTTCCGGCACAATTCTGAAGCACTGCTTTCTTCTCTTGGCTTTGATTCAGGACAGCCCAGTAGCTGCTTGGAGCTCTTCATATCCTTCTGTCTCACAGAACTAGAAGCATCCAGGGACCCCAAACACAAGAGGCTCAGATGTGGGGAAAGGGTACCTTAACAGGTCCTTCTCTCAAGGCCCCATCATTTCGTGGGGACCACTTGGTGAGAGCATAGGAGAAGGTAGGACAGGGACATACAGGACCCTATGCCAGGGCTCTCAGTGGTGACTGACTTCCTGAAAGATTTTGTTCTTCTGGCCTCCAGATCTGTGAGGTACACGTCTGCTGTTTTAAGCTAGTCACCCCACTTCTGTGGGGTACTGTAACCAGTGTGACCAACAGCCCCTCCATTTTTTTTTTCTGCGTACACCTGGGTCCTGCCTATAGGGGCATTCAATCCTGAGTGTCAGAGGAGAGTGCCGTGTGGATAACCCTTGTAGAAGGTGCTTGCCCTCCATATAATGGGTGACACTATGTTCACCAGCCCTGAGCCCAGCACTGGTGCTCTCCACTCAGCAGAGCTAAAGTAGAGCTCAGGGCTTAGGAATGGCCCAAGAAAATCTCAGACGACTCCTGTCTAGAGACCAGCTAGTGATGGAGCCAGGGCAGCTGTGAAATAAGCCCCCTGCCACTCAGGCAGGCGTGGGGAGTCAGGACACAAAGGCCAGAAGTGGGAGAAGGGGGAAAAGGCAAAGAGCCATCAGATCTCTCAGACCCAGACTGGGAGGCCAGCAATGATTTTTCCTGAAATAGTCAAATGATCAGGTCCCACGTACTTGGGGTATTTCTGGATATCACCTAGGTGTGAGCGTCCAGCTCACAGAAGTTGCGTGTTACCCAGTGGGTGTCTCGTTCTCAGCACTCTTTCTTAAGGAAAAGCAAAGTGCCCTATACTAACAAGAACAGGTGGGTCCTGCACCCGGCTGCTGGCCTTTCCCTGGACATCCCACCCAGCAGGGCAGATCTCTATGGTGGGTCTGTGAGAACTGAAGGCATTCAGATACCAGCCCATCTCCTTTTTTCCTGTGGTCTCTGAAAGTCAACCCTTTCTGTCCCAGGTATGGGTCCCCACCCCTGCAAGACCTGCAGTGCTCTGAAGCATCCACCCATATGACTGCAGGAAGTATCGGGATGGAGCACTCCCCCCACGCACATACACACATGAAGCAGGCAGCTTGTAAGAAGCCAGGCCTCCTGTTATCTGCCCACACTGCTGGAACAGACTAGCACAAACTTTGGCTTTAAATGGTGTTCAGGACTAGGGTGTAGCTTGGCAGCAGAGCGCTTGCTTAGCATACTAGTGGTCCTAGGTTGATGTCCAGCACCTTCCATGGGCCAGAAAAAGCTGGTGAGGTGGCTCAACAAATAAAGATGCTTGCCCCAAGCCTGACAACAAGATGGGCAAACTGTAGGCAGGGCTGGTCCTGATGGAGCTTCCATTGGCAAGTCTGAGTTCACCTTCACAGCCAAGCTTCCTCACGACATTTGGCTCAGTATCCATCTGTATCCATCACTGCCTTCCTTTGAAAGGGACCCTTGTGTTCCCTCGTCCCGCTCAGATAATCCAGGATGTCTCCCATAAAACCCTTAATCCCAGCTGCAGAGCCCCAAGGTGCAGAAGTCAGGATGTGGGAGCTGTCATTCCACTATAAAAGAGTTGGGGAAGGGTTTTGGACCTGCCCTGGGGGTGAGGAGAGCTGAGAGATGAGCTGGCTGTGAGCTGGCCAGAGGCAACAGCCTCAGCAGAACCTTGAAAGTTTTTTCTTCCCCAAGTGGCAGAGTAAGCGAGCTGGACCCTGTGCAGCAGTAAAAACCCTACAGGCCTGTGCCTTTACAATTCAGACCTGCTCTAGCTGAAGCCGCAGCAGTGCCCTGTGACCACTGCAGTTGACCCCCTGCCACCACGATGCCAGTCTCAGCTAGTAGGTTCCTTGGCTAGAAATCTCAGTGTACTCTCATGACCCAGCAGTCCAGGTCTAAACAGTACTGTCCTGTGGGGAAAGACCGTTCAACAACACTCTGCAGAGCTAGTCCTATGTGCACTGAGATAGACCAGCTTTCATGTCTCCTCCTTGAGCCCCTCTACTTAGCTAGACAAGAACCTATCACCCCTGGGAAATCCCCTGTACTTAGCTAGACAAGAACCTATCAGCCCTGGGAAATCCCAAGAGAGGAGCCTCAGTCAGAGAGCTCCATGCAGCCACTGTGTCAGGACAGAGCATCCAGTGTCTGTGTACCTGCCGTCCTGCCCAGTTCAGGCTCAGCACATGTCCGCAGCATCAGCACCCTATGGTAGCCAACCATTCGTGGACACCTGCCCTTCTGCAGGTCCTTGGGTATCTGCCATGCCATCAGAAGCACCACGTGCCTCTGCAGACACAGGCCAACCAAGGAGGAGTGGGAGTGCCCATGGGAATATGGGGATTCTCTCCTCTTGTTTGCCCAGCTTACAGCTTGGCTGTTCATGTAGAGATGGGCTTGATTCAGGGCGGGACTCAAATTTCCTGAGAGAAGACCACGCACCCTTCTGTGGTTTTAGGGATCGGCTGTAAGGACAAAAAAAAAAAAAAAAAAAAGAATAAAATTCCATTTTTTTTCAACCAAGAGAGCCAATTCCTTTGCTTCCCCTATTTGCTCTTCTCAGAACTGGCCCAGACACCTGTCCTCCAGGACCTCAGATTAAAGGGATCAGCTTTCCCTGACTGTCCCTAGCCTCCTCCTCCACCCCTGGCCATGGCCAGGTGCCCAGCTCTCATGTGGACATGGCCCCAACTTCAGGAAGCCCCAGTATCTGATCATCTAACCAAGGCTCACTCTTATCTTTATCTAGCCTACCCACACCTCCATTGGAACCCTCTATACCTTCCCAGAGCCATATAGCCACTGGTCTTGGGGTTCCCCTTGACTGAGTTATGTTCTGATAGTCCTTGAGGCTTAAGTGTCTTTGACTCTTCATGATGAGAGGCTATATGGGCAGACACCCCAAATGGTTACCAAGGTCCTAGGCTAAGTTAGAATGGGGCCAGGACCCCCTACATTGCTGGTACCGCAAGAAGAACGTGGAGGCAATGAGGTCACTGTCCCCTGCCTGCCTCTTGGACCCCTGAAGACATCACTGTGACTGATGTCTGTGTTGGTTACTTTGTTGCTGTAGCAGAGACAACCTAACTGGGAAGATTTGGTGTGCTTTATGGTTTCAGGGACTACCGCATGGGGATAAGGCATATGGCTGAGACGGCTTCATCCGTGGCAGGGGCTCCTGGTGCGGTGTGGAGCTCATTCACACTGAGGTGGATATAGGCCCTCCTTAGCTTCATGCTTCCAGCTAGAACCCACCTCCCAAAGATTCCACAACCTACCAAAACAGTGCCACCAGCGGCGGCCCAAACGTTCACACACATATGCCTATAGGGAACATTTGATATTCAAAACCCTCACCTTAGTCTTCCAGCTAGCCTGGGTCTCTGCCATCTCCCTGTCCAGACTAGCCAATTAGACCCTGTTACTTCCTGATCTCAAGACTGTGGTGAAGGGCTTTAAGCTGGAGCCAGTCTTGAGTGTCGGAGAGATAGCTAAGGCAGAGTTGGCTTGGATTCATGCCATAGGAAACCATGGCCTGGCACCTAGGGATCATGATCCAATCGGGTGGACTTTGAGCCTCCGAGTTTTTCTGAAAACAAACTGAAAGCATAAGATTGCAAAACAAGGCCGAGCACGGCCCAGTGCGAGCATGTGTGACATCCTTTGCTTCAGGACGTGTGTCCACATAAGCCAAGTGCAGACAGGCCCTTTGTTCATTTTCAGTGGCAGATATGGCCAGCCAGTGAGCAGTCCCTAACACCAGCATCCAGGGTTCCCACAGTTTTCTTCCTCCAGGACAGGGGCGCTTGTGAGACCCCTCACACCTGTCACAGGCAGAGTTTTCTTAGAGTCTGGGCCTCGGTGACTGGCTCTGGCTAGATAGGAGCCTCTAGGCCAGCAATCCTGGTGGTGCAAAGCCAGTGGCCAAGACTGGTATTTGGTCCCCGTGGGATGCTGAGAGAGGAACCCTGCTGCCCGCATGGTCTGTCTTGATCTCCTCTAGACCTTGGTTTGTCCCGTACATACAGACTTTATGGATTTTCTAGACCAAGATGAATAGTATAGGCCAGTTTCCTCAGCATTCAGGTCTTAACCCCTGGCTAACCACTTCATAAGTGGTACTCAGGATCGGAACCGTACACACAACACTGTAGTGCGAGGGAAAACTGGCCTGAGAGGAGTGGGGAAGAGCAGTTCCTGCATAGGGCAGGCAGCTCTACGAGAGGGGCTGTAGAGCCCAGCCACCCGCATAGGGAGGGGTCTGAGCAGAGATGGGATCAGGTCCATCCTATGCCCTTCATCCCAAGACCTGGTCTTCCTCAGGCTAGTCCCACCTCTTGCCCTAGCCCGTGTCTCCTCTCTACCCTCAGAGGAACCAATTTACTGTTATACTCCGCACAACTTCACCCGTGACCAGGCGCTGTACGCCCGTGGCTACTGCTGGACAGAGCTGCGGGATGCGCTGCCCGGCGTGGATGCCAGCCACTGGCCGTCGCTGTTTGAGCACAAGTTCCTGCCCTACGCACTGCTGGCCTTTGCCGCCATCATGTACGTGCCCGCACTGGGCTGGGAGTTTCTGGCTTCCACTCGCCTCACCTCCGAGCTCAACTTCCTGCTTCAGGAGATCGATAACTGCTACCACCGAGCAGCCGAAGGTCGCGCCCCCAAGATTGAGAAGCAGATCCAATCCAAGGGGCCAGGCATCACGGAGCGTGAGAAGCGAGAGATCATTGAGAATGCCGAGAAGGAGAAGAGCCCCGAGCAGAATTTGTTTGAGAAGTACCTGGAACGCCGGGGCCGCAGCAACTTCCTGGCCAAGCTGTACTTGGCACGGCACGTGCTGATCCTGCTGCTCAGTGTGGTGCCCATCTCCTACCTATGCACGTACTACGCCACCCAGAAGCAGAACGAGTTCACCTGTGCCCTGGGCGCCTCACCTGACGGGCCGGTGGGTAGCGCTGGGCCCACGGTGCGCGTCAACTGCAAGCTGCCGTCCGTGCAGCTGCAGCGGATCATTGCAGGGGTGGACATCGTCTTGCTCTGCTTCATGAACCTCATCATCCTCATCAACCTCATCCACCTCTTCATCTTCCGCAAGAGCAACTTCATTTTTGACAAACTACACAAGGTGGGTATCAAGACGCGCCGGCAGTGGCGCCGCTCTCAGTTCTGCGACATCAACATCCTGGCCATGTTCTGTAACGAGAACCGCGACCACATTAAGTCGCTTAATCGGCTGGACTTCATCACCAACGAGAGCGACCTCATGTACGACAACGTGGTGCGGCAGCTTCTGGCTGCCTTGGCTCAGTCTAACCATGACACCACGCCCACTGTGCGGGACTCTGGCATCCAGACCGTGGACCCCAGCATCAACCCCGCGGAGCCTGATGGCTCTGCCGAGCCACCCGTGGTCAAGCGGCCCCGTAAGAAAATGAAATGGATCCCCACCAGCAACCCGCTGCCGCAGCCCTTCAAGGAGCAGCTGGCCATTATGCGCGTGGAAAACAGCAAGACCGAGAAGCCCAAGCCAGTGCGCAGGAAGACAGCCACAGACACGCTTATTGCCCCGCTGCTGGATGCTGGTGCCCGGGCTGCCCACCACTACAAGGGTAGCGGAGGTGATACAGGCCCCTCTTCTGCCCCGCCTGCTGCCTCTGAGAAAAAGCATACCCGTCACTTCTCCCTGGACGTACATCCCTATATCCTAGGTACCAAGAAGGCCAAGACCGAGGCGGTACCCCCTGCCCTACCAGCCTCCCGGAGCCAGGAAGGCGGCTTCCTGTCCCAGACAGAGGAGTGTGGGCTGGGCCTGGCTACAGCACCCACCAAAGGTAGGGCGCCAGGCAGGTGGGAGACTGAACAGGATATTTCTTCCCAGGGAGTCCCCGCTCTAGGGCACAAAGGGGGAAAGCACCCGAGAGCAGTATAGATGAGGTGGTGACCAGGCTAGCCAGCTTGGTCACAGCAGAGGTAACAGATGGATTGCGCCTAAAGTGAGGGCCAGGTCTAATAGGAGTCTGGACGCTCTCATAAGGCAGAGAGGATGAGGAGGAAGACAGGACTGCAGTCACCAGGAAACATACCTCCTTTAGTCAATAAGTGCTTCAGGCAGATACGAGCCATTGGTTGGCGGGGAATGGGAGGGACGGCAGTTCAGCAAGTAGCATTGCTATTTCTTGGGAGTTAGAGTTAGCCAGGCAGGCTGCTAAATGCAAGGGTGCCTGCCATCCATGGAAGTTAGGGTCCCGGTAGGTGCCCGTGGGTAGCACCGGGAGGGCGGTAGCAGCGAGTGAGCCGGATTGTGAAACGCCTGTGTTCCTGCCTGTTTTCAGATGCTCCGCTCCCCGAGAAGGAAATCCCATACCCCACAGAGCCTGCCCGGCCAGGGCTTCCACCAGGGGGCCCATTCCATGTCTGCTCACCCCCCACAGCCCCTGCTGCTGCGTCCCTGTCACCAGGCAGTCTGGGCAAGGCTGACCCCCTCACCATCCTGAGCCGAAACGCCACTCACCCCCTGCTCCACATCAGCACGCTGTATGAGGCCCGGGAAGAGGAGGAAGGAGGCCCCTGTGCACCCTCAGACATGGGCGACCTCCTCAGCATCCCCCCACCCCAGCAGATCCTCATCGCCACCTTCGAGGAGCCACGAACAGTTGTGAGTACTGTGGAGTTTTAAGGGCCAGGGCCTCCCAGGCCACCAGAAACTGTCCGCGTGAGCCAGGGATGGCAAAACCGAGCCTAGGTTTGAGTAGATCGGAACTCTGCTCACCCAGTACTGCCCACACACCCCCAGCCTCCTGTCTGCATGCCACGGGGCCCAGCACCCCTTCCACCTGGCTCACCATGGCATCCACAAGTGCAGGCTGGGGCTCGAGCGCAAGGTGGGATAGGGTGCCCACCCCGGGCATCAGGCACCCCCACAGAGTGCTGGGCCACAAGACGAAGAGTTTATTTTTTTTAGTGGGTTTTGTTGTGGGCTGACACAACTCAGCACACCCAGTTGGGCCCAGCCTAGAGGGTAAGTGAGGGGGGTGCTAGGGAAGGTGACACTGGCCTCAGGACAGACCCCAGGGATCACTCACTTAAGGGCCTGGCCCCTGCAGAAGGACCTGATGCCTTCAGGTGGGAGGACCAAGGGCTGCCCCAGGTCCAAATCAACATGCACTTTCTCCGCATAGCCTGACACACACTTTATTTTTACTATGATTACTGTAACCGACGAGCTTGTTCATCATCAGGAGAATGAGGGTGCATTTAAGCCAGGGGAGGATGTACGTGAGCGGCCTAAGCAGAGGCGGGTGTGAACGTGCTGAGTAAGCAGGTGTGGGTACAAGCACCTGCACCTGCCTGAGTGATTGAGTGTGCCAGAGAGTCACAGTGCCCATGTGCAAGTGAGCTCGCGAACAAGCAGGAGGCAGGTGTGCCGTGAGTGAGCATGAGCATGTGTGAGTGTGTGTGTGTGAGCGAGCAAGCGAGTGAGCGAGCGGCCGGCACCCACATGAGCAATGGGTGAGAGCAGGCGTAGGCGCCAGGGCGCCAGGGTGCAGATGAGGGAAGGAATACAACGCAATAACCACATCCCCCTTCCCCGGGTCCCCAGCTGCTGGCCGGACAGTTTCCCATGGGAGTCCAGGCCCCACTGGCCCCGCCCCTATTACCTCAGCCACGCGCCACGTGACGAAGTATTAACAAGGTAGCACTGAGCATATCAATAAATACTATTCTGATAACTCCCTGTGCCTTGAGGCCCTGCCTCCCTGTGCTGGCGGTTCGTGCCCAGCCTGGGCATCTCTTGAGGGCACTGGGAAACAGTGGGCAGGGCCAGGCAGTCCAAGATGTAAGAACATCAGGCTTCCACCCAGAAGTGTGAGGAGGGGGACCATGGGGTACTGGATTGTGGGGCTGTGGGAGGACGGAGTATCCAGAGAGCTCTCGGGAGTGGGGGACATAGTCTTTCAGTTACTGCTCCGTTGCTGTGAAGAGGCACCATGAAGACTTAAAGAAGAAAACATTTAATTGGAGGATTGGCTGTAGTTTCAGAGGGTGAGTGCATGAACAACAGAGCGGCAGGCAGGCAGGCGGAGGAGCAGTAGCTGAGAGCTACATCTTGATCTGCAGGCAGGAAGCAGAGAGACAGAGACAGAGAGACAGAGACAGAGACAGACTAGGTCTGGCATGGGCTTCTGGAACCTCAGAGCCCACCCCAGTGACACCTTTTCTAACAAGGCCACATCTAGTCCTTTCTCAACAGTCCACCAACTTTGGTGTTTTGGTGGGAACCAAAGATTCAGATATGTGGCGTATGGGGGCCATTCTTCAGACTACCACATAAATAGCATGGCCCGAGGCCCTGTTAGGTTTATTACCCGAGACCAAAGAGCTGGCGGGATCCAGGAAGGGTTCTTGGCTGGTTGTGGTCAGGATGCACTTGTGTTCATCAGAAGGTCCACAGCAGGGCTTCGCCCTCAGATCCAGGACTCGGTGAGACAGAACTGGCCGTTTAGAGTTCATTCAGGGGCATAGGCTGTATATCGAAATGGAGGGGCTCAGCTGAGCTGATCATGCAGAGACCACGTTCTGGTTTTATTATCTGTTTAAAATGTCTTGTTATCATCCACTTATGCTCAGGACAGATCACAAAACCCCTGCCATTGGTTTCATTGGGGGATGACGAGGGCAAGTCTCAAGGAGTTTGCATGTGCCGGTGTTCCTTCCCTGAATTACACTTCCAGCTCAGATTCATGCTGTAGGAAAGGTATTTATTGTTCACAGATAATAGAAGAGATACCCCACAGCACCCAGCGCCACAACGGGGAGCATCAGGGTGAGGCCCTGGCAGATGGAGTAAGGGGAAACAAACCTATGGGCTTCCACGGGGAGGAACGGGTCAGGCAGATGAGAGACAGAGAATCATCCAGTATGGGTGCTGGACTCACATCTGTGCCCAAGTTTCTGCCTTGGAGTGACTGGGGCAGGTTGAAAATGAGACAGAGTGTGGGGAAAGGGAAGAGATGGGCACTGTACATAATGTCTGTCACCTGCCAGCTCTACAGAGCAGCTTGCCTTAGAAGAAGAACACCTGTCCAGAGCCACCGGTCAGAGGATCAGAATACAGCAAATAGCCAGATAGGACACCACAGCATTTAATCCTAGCACTCGGGATGCAGAGTCAGACAACTATCCAAGTTTGAGACCAGCCTCGTCTTCATAACTAGTTCCAGACTAGCCAGGGCTACATAGTAAGACCGTCTCAAAGTCAAACCGAAACCCCAAATAATACAATACAGAAAATGCATGTTGTCCCCAGAAACTACACCCTAAAATGATGCTGGACACTGTCCTTGGCATTCCAGGCTGCATTCAATCAACATTCCCACACATTCTAGGAAGGGACTTCTGAGACCCAAAGGAACCCTGGGAGAAAAGCTGGCTGCCTCCAGGCTGCCCACTTCCCTGGAGAGGACAGTCCCTGGTCTGACGGCCTACAACCACAAATTGGCCCCTACGTGATGATGGGCAGGCATGGCTGCTAAAGTAACCCAGAAACCTCAGGATGCTGGCCTCTTTCCTGCTCCTTGGCTCTCCCTGCTCACATACCCATCTGCTTCCTACGTGTGGTCCGTAATCTGCCCTTGCATGTGTTGTACCCACTCCCCACCGTTTGAGCTCAGCCTGAACACCCTGGGGTTTGGCTCAGAGGGGGAGACACTCAGACCCTAGGGAACCCCTGGTCTGCCTGATACCAAGGCCAGCTGCTATACTTTCTTCATAGGTCCTGTTTCCCAAGTGCCACTGACCATAGACTATCCAGACAGTGACTGCGTGAGTGCGTGCGTGTGCTGCCCCGGAGCTTATACAGAGCCGAAGTAGACATGGGAAAGGCTGGGCGCACTGGATCCAGGGGGCTGGCTCTTTGGGAGACGTGAAGCCAATAAAGCAACCACTTCTCACCTCTGTCCTTGGATAAAGCCTAGAGGGACCTCTCAGAAGAGTCCTGTGTGGGAGAGCTTGGGCGCTTGGGCCCTTGGGTGGGTGAACAACGCTATATATATTTCCGTGTGGAGTTGACTTGCAAGGTGCCGCTTCTGGGGAAGGGGTTCAAGTTAGTGTCCTCAAGAAGCAGGCAACACTTCAGTGGGTACTGGGCATACTGTCATCTTACTCCTTGGAAGTGTCCTCTGGCTCCACTTTTCCATGAGCTATTCACCTTCCTGGAAGCAGACGGCCAGGGACCTGAAGAAACAAGGCTAAGCCCCTTGCTAACCTGGGGCTCTCTTTCTGACCTCTACCCCAGCTCTACCTCTGTGGGACCTTTAGGATGGTCTATGCTGTTCTCAAACCTGGCCTCTCCTTACCCCCTGACTAAGAACCTAGGGAGACCTTCCTTCCCCTCTGCTTATTCCCAATGGCTTCAGATAGCTCCTTTCTCTTTCTGAGGACTCTGGACTCCTCTGGCCATGTTGAACCCTTTCCCTGCAAGCCTCACCTGCATTGGCTCCCTGCATGGCTCGCCATAAAAAGCACCTCCAGTAGCCGCTCTGCTGAACAAAAGTGCCTTCCATTTGGTCAACTCTATAACACACCCACTCATCCTGTGGCACAACAGAACCTGCTCAAACAAAGCAGGCCTGGGAACAGCTGTTAGAAAGCAGAGCTCAAGCTGGCATGCTTTACTCTGAAGCAAAGCCTAAGACATAAGGGAGACCTGGTCTCTCCCAGCTAAGACCTGCCGTGGTTTCCCTGGCATAGTGGCTGGACATACCCTCCAGACACCATTTCCTATATCTGGCTCCCGTAGACGCCAGCAGGTTAGGGGGCAGCTCTGGTTTTCCTCATCTGCCTCCCCAGCAGCCAGTTAGCCAAAATAGAATTCTGGCACTTCAGGGTCAGCATCTACTTAAAATGTCATCCCATCCTCTGTCGCCTTCCTGCCTTTCCGGGGCCAGCAGTCCTCGACCTATGGGATATCTCATATCAGATTCATATACGATTCATTAATAGTAACAAAATTGCAGTTATGAAGTAGCAATGAAATAATTTTATGGCCAGGGGTCACCACAGCATGAGGAACTGTATTAAAGGGCCGCAACATTGAAAAGATTGAGAGCCACTACTCTAGGACAGGCAAACAGGAGAGGTGGCACCATGGTCTGCCCATGGGAAAAGGACAGACTCGGGAAGAACATGGCCAGCCAACCCGAACTAGAATCCAGGCCCCTTCCTGATACTAGCCTATCACTGAGGTTTTCAACTGAACAGCACAGGTCCTAAGAGGAGCCTCACTGTGCTTTGTAAACACAAAGAATGGGCCTGGCAGTCTCAGCTCTAAACCCACCCCTGTCTTCTGTTAAGCTGCATAAATGTGGCTGAGGAGGCCAGAAGAGGAGAGTTGGCCACAGAACACAGACATAAAAATAGTGAACAACAGGGGTGAATCCAAGACCTCCAGAACGAACATGTGCTCCACTAAAGGAGCAAGGAAGGTGGAGGTCACTTTGAGCCCAGGCTTTTTAGGGGAACCAGGGAGCTGTAAGAAGATGCTGGCAGCAAATACCTGCCAGCAATCTCCATGCGGGCCTCTTGTGTAACAGACTGCTGGTGGGAATCCTGCCTGGTGCATGAAGAATTCTCTTCCTCACAGTGGCCAAGTTCCAGGAGGGCCATTCAGAGGAACAGTGTCAAAGCCACGATCTCCAAAACTCAGGGCCAGAGTTGCAACCTCTTCTTTTGGAATCTGAAAGGGCTGGATGGGGCAGCTGGGAACTAGGCAGAGCTTACTTCCCCTTTGGAGGGTCTGTGCCAGGGCCTGCCTTGGGTAGTTACTGTCTGGCTCCCACAGTAGCCTATCTTGGGGTACTCAAATGGAGACATGTCCACTATGGGCTCACCTGGCTCCTCTCGTCCACTCACCAACCTTGAGCAGGAGGACCTGCAGCCCTCTGCAGCCTGAGGGGGCCAACTGGCCTCACTCCCTGCCCTGCTCTTTAAGGTGCCCTAGGAGACTGGTGAGTTTGAGGCCTGGGATAAGATACTGGGCACTCGCGAGGCTGTCACTGGGGACCCGCCCACCCAGAGGACCCCCCTCCCCCGCAGTCTCCGGGCTCTCAGTCACATGCAGCTGAACACATAGTGAGGTCCTGATGGCTTGGGGCTGACAAGGCCAGCTTTTGCTCCTAAGCCCTGCCCTTGAGCCTCTCCACTTGGCATGCGACTCTCCAAGGAAACCAGAAGGGCGCCTCATACGATCCCTAGTTTCTGTCCCAGTCCAGTGCACTGACGGCTCCCTAGACGCCAGGCCATCGTGCGGACACTTAAAGAACGCAGTCCCCTCGCACAGACTCTGCTGTGGGGCCAGCACCCCGCAGCGTGCTCTGGGTTGCTCTCTAGGACCTGGGGGCGTCGGGCCGGTAGGCGGGGCCCTGCGCTTAGACCCCGGCGGGGGCGGGGCCTCGCGCGCGCAGCCCTGGGAGGTGTTTCCCGGCATGCTGCGCGGCCCGCACCCTCGGCCTGTCCGGCCCGTCCGGCCGCCCCGCCCCGCCCCGGCCCACCCCGTCAGCCCGGCGACGTGCGCATGGAGGCCGGCTGAGGAGCGCCGCCGCCTCGCTCGGTACGCCGTGGCCTGACCGGGTGGGCGGGCGGGCGAGGGCTCCTCGCGCCTCGACGGCGCGTGCGGGAGGGCACGGGCTGCAGGTGGGGAGTGCGAAGGACCAGGGCCACGTATCCCACCGGATCG